TCGTCTTATTCTATCCGCGCTATTATATCATCTCATGCACGTTTGCGCGTTTTCGTTTAATTGCTCGGAAAGAATTTATCATGAAACAGAATAGATTTTTATAATAGACTCGGAATAAATACAGGTAGAATGATCTTCTTTCTTCTTTTATCGCTCATTTTATGTCATCACACGAGACGTATCCTTACTCGAGTTTCCGACAGGGAATCTATGTTTCCTCGCATCATTTCGACATCGTGTGTTCGCAAACGACGATCAAAGTAGACGGATATGTAGGTATTGCAACAGCCTCCAAGCGATGCGCGACCTTGCAATCGCGCCGCATCGCGACGATGTCGCCGACCGGGAAAACGTCCCGTGAACGGATATATCTAACGGATCGCCCAATTTACGTTCGACCTCGTCGTGCCGTGCACCAGAGACGAGCCCATCCCTCCTCCACCGACATTGTAACGCGCGATCAAACGAGATTAGAGGCTGCACATTATGCGTGTATGTATGTGTTCGTGCATCCGTAACTCGAGCTAATCCGCCCAACACCGTCCTACAGATGTGTATGCTCGCCGCATCGGTATTACGCCGTATCGTATATATATATATATATATATATTAAGTCGTGGAACATATGGTACCGTATATACGGTGTACATATGTAAGCGGATGGCGTGTGTGACCCCTTTACACGAGAACACGCGCGACTTGCTTTCGCGTATATTACGGATAACTGTACTGCCGGACTGGTGGGCGTGTATACGTGTGCGGGATACACGCGCGAATTGCATTGCACGCACATGCGTGCGCGGTTAGTAATAAGGAGAAAGAGCGCGATATTTATGTGCGCGTCGCGGGAGGAAGATCGAGTAATTTTTATATACGTGTACTAGACACAAGGATATATACATCTACGTGGACGTTGCGGTAATTAACTTCGCACGGGATTAGAAGGCGTGGGTACATCGACGAGCGAATTCACGGCACACGAAGCGAGGGAACGTGTCGAAATTCCGAGCGCGGTTAGAGAACGTTCCTAGAGGAAGGCAATTGCGGATGCATTGCGTTGCATAGTTTATAGTTCATATCCTACGTTGCATAGTACAAGGTTCTTCTCGCTGCTCTTTCCGAGCGTGTCAATTACTCTGCGTAGATGACAAATGCTCGGAATGTAACGAAAAGTGATCTAGAATAGAAATTTGTGACATCGAAATATTTTGATTTTTACAAAAGATATAAAGAAATTTTTTGATAACAATGTGATGATCTATATAACGTAGTTATTCGTTTTGTGTCTAAACAATTATTTTCCCATTCCATTATTTAAATTCTCTACTATAACATATATTTTTACAGCTGTTTTCTTATATTTTTGTAAAGCCTTGACCATAAATATTTTACCTGAAACTAACAATAAATTCTTTAGAAAATCTTCAAGCATATTGGGCTTTAAATTTATCTTTCTTTCTTCAAACCGATAAGTGCCTTACTCACCGAAAATGTGTACATGTATTGCGAATTACCGGGAATTATCCAAGTAATTCAATGGCGCCGTGTAATCCCAAGTAATACGACGGGCAAATTCACATCCAAGTTCAATTATAGAAAACGTACTTCCAGATGAACTCATTATTTAAATTCATGGTCATTATTTTGAATCTTTTTCTTTTGCTTATCGGCCCTTGATGGCCTCCATCCATTGTGCCTCTTTTTATTTAGTTTTTTTTTTTTTTGGTTTTAAATGACATTTCTCTGAACATTCCTCTTATTCGTAACCATCTATAAATAACCTATAAATAATCGGCCGCATTTTATAGCAAAACACCAACATAGTGTTGATTTTCTTATCAACAATACCTTATTTTTAATTTATTTTATCAAATTTAAAAAATTATTTTTTTGTTGTTATCTATTTATCTGAAATATTGATAAATAATCATAAATTTTTCAGAGGATTAAGCTGTTTAAAAACAGAGTGAGATAAATATAGTCCGGTACACGTGCATAATTACCGATCTCTTTTGCATTGCAAATGTCACTTGCGGAACATTCGCGCGCGCGCGCGCCCGTGTGTTCGCGCAGAGAATGGAGGGAAAGGTGAAGGGGGAAGACGGGACCGAGATGTTTTGCCGACGATAAACAACGTGAAAGTTTGGTATCGTTGACGCTAACGATCGACGCGATCGTAACGTGCATAACTTCCTCGGATATCACTATCGACGACCTCTTTTTTCCCCACCCGATGTACGAACACCATGTTCGTCTATTCATTTGTCATCTTCGACGAAAGCGTATTTTCGCGCCGTATAATTAATTATCTTTGCTAGTATAATTGCGTCATTTACTTGTAAAATTTACCCACACGACCTTCAAGCAATATCTTTCTTTTTAAGCAGATGGTGTAGAATATGCACATGGAAGTATAATTTGAAAAATGATTCCTTGTAAGAGTAAAATTGAGAGATATGAAAATTGGAAAAAAGAACTGTATAATTAACTATGTTGGCTCGCGTGTGTACGCACTGTCAGAACTGTATAATGAATATACCTCGTGTTATCAGGTTTATATAATTAATATATGTCGTTGCAATTATACAATGAAGCGTATATCCCGTTCTTTCTCGAGACAATTGCAGAATGAAAAATGCTATGAACGATCATAACTACAAAGATACTTTCTTATTCGTATCTCGTAAATTGTTCTAAGAAAAAGTGCTAAAAAAAGAAAAATATTGTGTTGCGGAAAAATCTCGTTTTGAATGATCGTTTTTGCCATTCTGTTCCGTTTCTCATACGTGTCTCTCTTCGTAAGGCCGTAATCTGTTTCGGATTCTTATAGTCACGCAGGACATATGTAAGTTCGAGCACGTACGTGAGTGAATCGCGGATTGAATTTTTGAAATATTTGTAGCAGATTTCTTCACATTTCGAAGATGAGTTCATACAGCAACGAGTAGCAACCACAAGGAAAAATTTTAAAAACACCCAAATTTTCTCGTTTCTCGAAGTTTTCCCATACGAGAAAACGTGCTCGCTTCTTTCCACGCGATCATCCCACGTGTTTTCTCGAATCGTTAGTCAATCTCGAATGTGTTGCACGCACGTCACGCCCATCCGCGATAGCTTGGCTGAGTGCCAAGGTCGATCACAAAAACCACTAAAATGAAACTGCTATTATATTTCCAAGCACGTTAATCGCATTCTTCGCACTTACCGAAGAATAATATCGCGAATATATGAATTGTATTATTGGAAAAAAAAAACATTTTAAAATTTTATCTTGCTCTGCCAAGTAACAAGATTTATTTTAGAGTCAGCGTGTCGAAAATTATCTCACCATCTGACAAAGTAAACTCCTTGGATAACGCCGCGATTTCCACATTGGTTGCATTAATGAATTGTATTGATTGGAAGTAGATGAGTATCCGAATCGTTGCCATGATAGAAGCTTTTCTTCATGTTCACAATATTCAATGAATTGTCTTCTCTGTTCTTGATATTGCTTGAGAAGAGACGTTTCAGTATATTTTTGGCACAATCCTTCTTTCACTTTATTATGTATATCAGCAGATTGTTGCTGATTATCATTCTTGTCCATGTTAAATAAATGGCAAGTTTCGAACCACACATTTGAACAAAAAATATATAAAAATATAAAAAACCAATCGCACATTTAACCGCGTCACGCGACACATATTCATCTGATAGTTGCGTTATCACAGTTATTAAAATGATTACGAACACTTGGAAAACTTGCAGGACTTCTTTTAGCGGGCTAAAACGGCTGGACATTAAGAGCTAGAACTGCAACTACTCTTAGAAAGCCCCTCTTAAGTGTACTAAAGATAAAAACGGTTGGAATTTTGAGAGTCCAGTTTAAAGAGGGATCGCAAGAAGCGCCCGGATGTACATCTATCTAGCTTTCTCTTCTCCTTTTGTTTGAATCCAGAAAGTTCTGATCTTCAAAAAAGAACAAAACAATAATAAACTGTTTATAATTATAATAGCGGGCACCACATTTCAGAAGAAAATTATTAGAACTAATCATTTAAATAGTTTCGTTTAAACAAAATATTACGAAAATCTATGCTTTCCAAAATGATATATAAATTAAAATAATAATTTTAAAAGAAATCAAAATCTTTTTATTTGAAAAATAATTTAAAGTTTGACACATTGATTATTTCAAATATCATTTCTACTATGATTTCAAGTATTGTTTCTAGATATTTCACTATCCTTCTTATATGTGATTTGACCAAGAAAGCAAACAGCAGTTCCTTTGCTAGGAACTTAAAACAAACCAATCGAGGCGCAACAACCCTTGCATAGGGTTCTTATTCCTGCCTATCCCTGAATAAGGATCGCAAAGTAACGATCTTATCGCGAAACAAAGAGTACACTTATCTTGAGGGAAACTCGAGTTTTCTCATTATTAACCCGTTAGACGCCGATGCAAAAAGGTTGCTGCTGATCTCAAAAATGAGAAGCAATGGATGGATACAATAATTTGTGAACAAGAACGCATTAGGATACTTTTGTCAAAACTCTACACGAGTTATCAACGATGAAAAACAGGAGCGTTCTCAGATATGAATATCGAAACAAACAAAATTATAGACATTGCTTAATATTCGCATCGTAATATTAATATTCTAAATATTGAGTTAATTTCAAGAGACTATTTCAATCGTGAAATTCACGAGAGGAAGTTTGTAAAATAAATATGTGTCTTTTATTTTTTATATTATTTCGATTCATGACGAAAATTATTTAAAGCTTGTTGAAATTGGTGAAGGACATTTCCATATTCTCTTGTCAATATGTAAACCATGGATTCATTATTTTTAATATCGTTAGCTTAATATTAAGTAAATTAATGATAATTATCTTTAGAAAGTTTTTAAATTTCCGCAGCAGATAAATCTGGCGTCATAAGTGTCTCCAGGGTGATAAGAAAAAACACGTTGTTATCATCAACCGGAAACGAATAGTAAAGCGTGACTAACCTTTTGTTGTGCCAGCCTGAGGGACTCCTCGAAGTGTTTATGTACCGCCTGTTCGGCCCTCTGTTTCTCAAGCCTCTCCCGTTCCATCTTGGCCTTCTCCAACTCGCGCACTTCCGCTTCGCGGCGTTCCCTGTAACAAGCAAACAACGAAAACTCAGTCTCGTCATTATCACGCGATTATGCGAATCGGTGCGTATAAATAAGCCCACGGGCTTACGAGGTTATTGGCAATTAAGAACGGATTTGTAGGTACTTCGCGAATGTACCATCAGCGAGTAAATTTCCCATTCTTAAATCTCGAAGCGCACACATACACGGCCTTAGCCAATTAATTCTAATGGCTCGTAATTTGTCATGCAACTTGCAATTCTTTATTAAAAATTAATAAAAATATAATAGTTACTTGTTGCGTTATTATTATTATTATATTTCCTATTGATATAAAAGATCCAATTAATTTTACTTAATTATAAATTTTATTTTGATACTTTTTTACATAGATTGCTAATCATAATGCGAAATTATACCAATATTTTAATACTGAAGTATAGTCTTCCAAGTAGCGATAAAAAATAATGCCATCTCATGCCATGGTCTTTGATCACGAAGCGAGAATGTCTTTATTTACCACTCGTCGTTATACCTAACGATGCTTAAGCGATATAGATGTAATTTATATGTCCATAATTTATACGGTCGCAAAGGGGGGAACTCGACCCTTCTCATACTCTTTCACATTCGCGTCCCTTATCGATTTATCTCCGCCCTACGACCTCCGTTTGCTCAGTTCAGCGGAAATTCCAAATAGCGTAACGCGAGGGAGAAAAGAGAAATGCAGCGGTTACATTCTCCATTTCCTCTAAAGGTAACGTGCACCGTCAGCTGTTCCCGTTATTCTGTCTATGATGTTTAAAACAGATATTTCCCTTATAATAAAATAAATTTCCTTCTAATTTTTTGAGAGAGAAATAGAATAGAAAAAAAATTTATAAAAGTAAATGTAAAATTGTGTTGCTATAAAAATCTGTAAAGAAAAAAATATATAGTTTTATGTTATCGTCACAAGGTAATCATGCACAAAAAGCGACACGTCCGGATTTCTTCATTTATTTTCTCCAATCGTTCCATAAATTATTACGCTCAATGCTTTTCATTTACGATATTTACACGCATCCACGAAAAAAAATTTGCCTTAGGCATTAATTATCGTTCCTCGTTTCGAAGAAATTCGAGATGAGCGCATCTCGCGTAAATGCGGGGCCAGTCAGCACGATGAAGATAATAAAATGCAACGTCTGGCTGGTATATCTATCTCGCGACTTTTTAATGGGAGGGAAGGGGGAGCAGGGGAAGAGAGATAAGTATTCATTAACGCTTGCGCAAGTTATTTATACTGTTACGTGCGCAACGCGCGTGTTTATCTGCACGCTCGGTCGGCGGATCTTACAATGCACGCGCGGAATCCGTATATAAGCGCGATAAATACATCCGTATCTTTTTTCCTCGCCATCCTCCTCTCTCGTTTTGATTCTCTGTTCTCTCTTCGCTCCCTATACACCGCCCTAAAAGATCCATCAACGTGCCCGCGGATATCTTTCTTTCTTGAAAATAAAAGATGAAAGCAACTGCGACGTCTCTTAGTTATTTATAAAGAAAATTTAAAAATCTTTATAAAAGGTTTACAAAGATTTAAAGTTACCATAAAGTTTTACAAACCCAAGTTAAAAATATAGGTTCACAAAATAAAGTATAACAGCACTTAAAACTATATCTAGAGAGTCCCTAGACAATTATTATAAGTCAAGTCGTTATTCTTCCTTCGACACTTACGGACCTGTACTCCCAAATTTCTACAAATAATAAACCGTAATTTAACAATAAGCAATAAACCAGGTGTTTGGCCTACTCCCAACCTTTAACTACACATCCTGACAACGTTTTTCAATAAACTATTACAAAAGGTGTAGTTATACAAATTCTGATTATCAGACTGGTCATTAAAAATCTTGTTTTTTTAATCAGTCAAACAGAAATTATTTTAACACGTTGTAACTCATTTTTTCAAGGACAATACAAAAAAAGGAGACTTCTTCTTAACTTATTTTTCTGTGTTTTTTTCAATAAAAGGGTAATTATTGTGAATTAAAATGAATGTGAAATACCAAACTTCAAAAGCATTGACTCATCTATTATTTTCTTTAATAAAGATGTCTAATTATTAATCTTTTCGTATATGCTGCACGTAATAAAAAAGGATAAAATTTTCAGTTCAAAAAATCTTTTCATTCTCGATTTTCAATGACGTGTTAAGAACGCAACATGCGCAGCTCGTTCCGAGTTTGTACTTCGACATTTACGACATCGATTGCTGAAATGCATATCATTGCAGTTGTGTAAATGTACAGGCTTATCTACTCGTTTTTCGCTGACTGCATCATTTGACATCGTGGCGCCGAAACGCAATTATGCGCGATCGCGTTATTGCTTTTCGCTTGCTCGTGAAGTAACTTAACTTCGTTATCTAGCGTTGCGAGATTTTTTCGAGGTCGCGAGGATGCAAACAGCTTTAGCATTAACTTCGTTAACTTGAAGCTGTTTAATCGAGTCAGATCGCCTTCATGTCCGATTTTATATTTAGCGGATGGTAAATGTATTCGGTCTCATTAGAAGAGTATAATATTTTTAATAGATTTCGTTCTAGTTGACCTTTATAAATTTATAATTCTGAAAGATCAAGTTCACAAACAAAGCTCTTATCATTACGAGCATAAAAGTACATCATCGAGCAAAATACATGGCATTCAAAAAGCGGTGAATCAATTTTTAAGAATGTATTCTTTGAAGCCGAAATTATTATATAATTAAAGAAATCTCGTCAAATAATTTCAATTGTAAAAACTCCAGACTCAAGATAAAATTAGCATATTAAATTAATATTAAAAACTCAGTATTAATATTGAAGATTTCAGCAAAGAACACATCCTTGAATACAAAAGTACATACAAGTGAATACAAGTCTTACAAAATACCCATGAGTAAGAGGCCTTTTCTCTCATCTAGAGAAAAGGCAGATTCCGTTGATACCGTTGATTCGAATGTACCCGTTCTTCGCAAGAATTGCACGGTGACGACATGCATTACTCGCACGATATAATGCAACTCAGCAGCACTATGGGCTGGCAAAGCAGAAAGAAACGAGACAAGACACTTCCAGGAGACTCGCATACGTAGAAGCGCATACATTCTTGAAAGGTATATGTTATTAAAATGTTGTACAATCCAAACCATATATATTATTGCAAAACTAGATATAAATTCTTAGATATAAATTCTTTGATTAAGTTAATTTTTGTTTCATGAAAACTTCATATGCCACAATTCCTTATAGCTTGAAATTCGTAATATTAATATAAGAGTTATTAATATGACTAAATAATGATACAAAAATGGTGAAACAATAGAAAATATTCAGCAAATAGCTTTCGGTGAATAAACGCTGAAGATTAAAATGCAAAAAGACGTCAAACGTCAGATTTCTCCCGTTTAAATATATAGATGTACTACAATGTTCAAACAAATTTAAATGTGTCATGGTATAAAGCTATTTCCAAGTTTTTACAGTTTCTAAAATCTCATTAGCGCTTGAAAAGATCATACAGTAAGAAGAACATATCTCTCTAAGTTAGCTTCGCTTGATTTATAATTAAGATAAGTAATTAACAATTATAATATTAATTTACATATAAGAGAGAAAAGTAAAAAGAACGAAAGCTTATAAAGTACGCATGAAATTGAGAAAACAACAGCACGCAAAGAAATATAATGTATAGAAATATAAAATAAATTATTTCTAACCGAAAGTATTAAAAAATCGTGACCATCAATATCTCATCTTACCGAGTGTGCGAATAATATTGACTTCGTTGCTTTTCCGCTTTGCTCAGCCAAAACAAATCCGTTTTTGCGTAATGTTTACATCGAGGGGAATTATTCTCGGTCTAACGTCTGTGAAAACAGAAATTTCGCCGAATCTCAATGTGAATAGCTCGCACGGAATATTCACAAGCGTGACAAAAGCTTGAGCTATGTACGTATTTACAAACGTAGCGAGAGGAGACAACACTCTCTCATTGTTATCCGGTCGTCGTTCGAGAAATCCCAAGGACAAATGAAATCACCTCGACGCGTGATCATAATTTGAATAATGAATATATGTATACGGTTGCGTAAATATCGTGCGACCTGTTGAGTCGCATTTTAACGCAATGGCATTTAATTAAGGATCAATCGCAAAGTCGATCGGTACAAAAAAATATAATCACCGGCGTATCTCTTGTCGCTTATCGATCACGCGGCGCGATATTTTACTCTCTCGTCTTGAACATATGGTTCGATTATACTTCGTCCAATCGAATCGCTTTGCGAGTCTCATGAATTTTGTAGGACACGTCCCGAGGATTTCTTGCGTGCCGCCTTCGACCTCTGAATATTTGATCTAAATTCTAATGCGGTCAAGAACCAAACGTATAATAGAAGAGATTGTAAAGAATTACAAGTACCATTTTCTCTCTAATTGCGCAAAATAAAAGCGCAATAAATTTCCAGTGATAAAATCAATGACATTGTTACATTTTCACACAATGAGATTTTATAGTAATTTATATATATATATATATATACCGTGTGTGAAAATATGAAAGATATAATTCTATTAATGCGATCTTAATTACATTACTTGATTTCATCACTTTCGCTGCTTCACCAATTTACTTTGATGACTAGTCGTATTCTAGATTCTCGCTTCTAGCATATAACGAGACACGTTTCATACGTAAAAATAAGAATATTTTCTTCGTTACTCATGACTTTGCCGAATGACATTTTATGACTTCGCATTTTGCAATTTTGCCATGAAACGCGATTCCGAAGAATGTTTGTCAGTTATCTCGGTATTCTTTCGACATAGCAGTCCTTGTTTCATCGCCTCTTTATTTCGCCGTGCGAGGTGAACGCATTCGAGAAGGAAGCCAGCGTTAATTTTCGTGCCACGTTTCGTAATACATTTCGAGCATGACGGATACGTACGAACTACGAACGTGATCTAGAATCTTAAAACGATAACGCGACATG